GGGGCGGCTCCAATGGACAAGCACGTAGCAACCCCATTATTTTTCAGCTTGAATTACTAACAATATATTTTAACTCATACAAACAGGTTTGAGAAGGAAAAAAAAATGAGGCCCCAAGTTACATATTTGACAATGACCTTCGGCTTGTAAAATTCACCGAGCCCATTCTTTGAAACATACAAGCCCAACTGACTTCTGGGCCTAGTTCAGTTTTCTTAGAAATTTGTAAGAAGCTGCCTACATCGATTCGAAGTCCCAAACGGAAAAGAAAGTTGGGCTGTGGGCCCTTACATATAAAGGATCCAATAGCATGATAAAATTTGTAAAAGTTTTTATTTTTTGTATTATTTATAAATGATAAATTTAAATTTTTATTGAAAAAAATTTAAAAATTACTTTTAAAAATAAAAACAAACGAAATAAGAATTGAGTAAAAAAAAGTTTATAAAAGTATAAATTTAAAATTTTTTAAAATTTATTGTTTAAAATTTTTTAAATTAAAAAATATAAATTTTTAAAAAAAATTTTAAACTTATAAAATATGAATAATATCAAAAAATTAAAACTCTTACAAATTTAATCAAACATGTTTTAAATTTGTTTATTTTTTAGGGAAAGGACTACCTTCGATAATTTGTTACAAAATTCTCCTTCTAATTTTTGCTTTTTTTTGGTTGGCTCACTTTGAGGCTGTACAATTATAGAGACATTCTAGATTTTTAGGGGTCAAGTCAACTAAAAATACAATGATTATGCCTTCAAATGCCATTTTTGTAAAGGTAACATAAATGTTCCATTGGAATTTTGAAGTTAGAATATTTTTTTACTGAAAGAGACTGAAAAGAAAAAAGAGTTTGTCATAATTGAATTTAGGTTAAAGTACCATTTTGGTCCCTTAACTTTTTACCTTAACACCAAAATTATCCCTCAACTTTAAAAAGTACCAAAATTATCCTTAAACTTTCATTTTTGATACCAAAATGGTCCTTTCATCAATTAAGTAGACAGGTGGCATGTTAAAATGCCACAAAATGACTGCTTTTTTTTTCATTTTAATGACGTGTAAGTCCGCGAAGAAAATTTTGCTATTGTGGCATGTTTTTTCCATGTCAAATTACTCTCCCTTTTCAGATTCACTTTTTGTGGGACCCACATGAAAAATTGTTTTCCCTTTCTAGTTTCAGTTGAGTTCTCGAAGGCCAAACAAAAACAAACAGGAACTCAATAGTGACTTCCAAAATTTGAAAGATACGGATGAAATTCAATGAAAAATGAAAGAAAAAGGAAATGAAAAACTCAAACTCATTTTAAGTTTTCACATAGTGCAAAATGAAACAACTTTTCTACCGAAAGAAAAAAAAGGGGGATCAGAAATATTTTCTTAGCAACCAAACAAAGCAAAGAAAAACTAGCTTTACCATCCCAAACTTCAAAATTGGTCAAACCAATCACGAAGAATATGAATTTCGTGCTCAAAGCTATGGAAATGAAGTGAAATTGTGAAATTACTAGAAGAAATGCTAGGGATTGTTTCGCGAGAAACCCAGAAACTAGGTTCTTCAAGGAACCTCGCGTAACCTAGGTTCAGGGTTCGTCAAGGGTTCCTCGCGAAACACAGAACCTAGGTTCTTCGAGGAACCCAAGAACCCAAAACTGGGTTCTTCACAAAACCCAGATCTGGGTTCCTTGAAGAACCCAAAACCTAGGTTCTTCAAGGAACCCAAAAACTAGGTTCTTCAATAAACCTTGCATAACCTAGATTCTGGATTCGTCAAGGAACCTAGAACCAAGTTCCTCACAGAACCCAGATCTAGGTTCCTTGAAGAACCCAAAACCCAGAACCTAGGTTCTTCAGGGAACCCAGGAACCCAAAACTGAGTTCCTCAAGGAATTGGGTTCCTCAAGAAACCTAGCACCGGGTTAGGTTCCGCCACCCAACACCAGGTTGGGTTCCTCGTGGAACCCAAATCTTGGTTCCGTGAAGAACCAAGATGAACAAGAGGAAAACCCAGCATCAGGTTCCATGAGGAACCAAGATGATGAAGAGGAAGAGGATGGTGAAGATGATGAGAAAGATGGCAAAGAGAATGGTGAAGAAGATAAAGAGAATGGTGAAGAAGATAAACAGTGAGATGATGATGTCGAGGATGAGGCTGAGGATGAGGAGAAAGAAGAAGATAATGAAATGAAAGTTAATTAACTTAATTATTTTTAAATTCATTTAATTTATAAATTCATTTTTATTTAAATAAAAAAATAACACATGAAAAAAAAATGCCATCTCATCACTTTTAGCATGATATGTTTTCCACGTAATTATTATTTTTTTAGGAATATGATTTTGTGGCATTTTAACGTGCCACTTGTCATTTAACTGACAAAAGGATTATTTTGGTACCGAAAATGAAAGTTTAAGGATAATTTTGGTACTTTTTAAAACTGAGGGACAATTTTGGTACCAAAGTGAAAAGTTGAGGGACAAAATGGTACTTAAACTTTGAATTTAATTAAAAATTTTGAATAAAATTAATTATAAATATTATAATTAATGAGACTAAAGGTACAAATTAAAAACAAAATTTTCTTAAATGAGAGAGTGGGCAACTGAGTTCCAGGGGAGGTTTTATATTATTTTTACCATGGCCATAGGTTCCAGGGAGGGTTTATGCACCACAAAATTTCAACATTCTTCAATTAACAATCAAGCGCTACTTTTACGCATGCTTAACTGGAACCTAATACCAAAAGATACACAATTTCTTAATGCTGGATATTTCGCTTTAATTCTTTGGATATCGCATCATTTGTGACATCCCATTTTTCGTGCCCAACTTTGTGAAGGGAGAGTAACCATCACAATTAATGCGTTCACTTAAAAAAAAAAAAACTCTCTTTACATATATTCTGATATGATTTTCTCTTGGAGATCTTGAGGAGGAGGAGCATCTCACTAATCAGTCATCACCACATACCTTTGTTTATGTATGGACTATGGACGTAATTCATCCCACGTATTTGCGCACTTCTTTCTTTAAATTCTTTCAATTAAGGTAACATTAAATTTTTTTCCCCTTGTAGCTTTGAAGTTACCATGTGGCTCAACCCCAAGCTTAGTCCCTTAAAGCTCTTTGGTTGGGGTTTTAAACCCCACCGAAGACATGAAGAAGGTTTATCGGTTTAGTGGCTTAATAACTTAAT